CTTCTTAAACATTTTTAAAACCTTATTTACTTTACATACAACAATAGTTTAGTTATATATTATAGACATAGAAAGAGACCTTATAAAAACGTTAAAATGTATTACTGCCACGCAAAACCTTAAATTAGGGTGAATAAATGAAGACTTGGCACACCACTTCTGAAAGGTTGCCGACCCCGGGCTAGAGAGTAAAAGAGAAATGGGACTCCCTTGCACTTATTGAGCAACGTGGCCTGGTCATTGGTGACTGCAGATCATTTCTATAGCATCATTCTGAAGCTGTGTAACATCCCTGTGACTATGTTAATTAGCTCCCTTGCAAAAGGGCTTAAACCATAGAGCAAGATTACTCACGTGATATCTCTGCGCTGATAGCAACCCTGAAGGAGGCAGGCAATCAGGTCACTGATAAACTCCACATCATCCCTGTGAAGAGCAGCTTCCAGTTCCTATTAAGAAGGGAAGAGAGAAACAAAGATCAAATTCCTTAAAATACTCCCTTGGCAAACCAAGAGCAGGAAGCCTCAGATGGCCTAACTGATGCGTACTGTACGCGAGGGAGTGCCATCCTCTGGACCAGCCAGGCCGTTCCCCTGCAGCCACCGCTACAATCACAACTGAACTTGTCTTTTTATTTTTCTGTAGAAGTTTCATTCTTCCACATCAACTTCCACTATAATCAGTCTTCATTACTTTTTCCTTGCAAGGACTCACAAGTAAACCTTGAAAAGGTTTTACCACACACCTACTAGCAGCAGCCCATGCCTTCTACCCAGAAGCAGATATGGAAGATGGGGTGCCCCTGTTCCAGTGAGGTTGATGCACTGCAATCTAGTAAGTAGCACAAAGCCTCTCCCATCCGAGGATGATGGGAGGCTGGAAGGCAGAAATTGAACAATTTAATTCTGTTGCCTGTATTTCCTCCTTAACCAGAGGAAGTTTTCCGTACTTATCAGTAGTGCGCTCATTTAAAACACTTGTTCGGGATCACGGCCTGAAAATCCCACTCACCCAGGATGAGCAGCAATTTCAGATAGGTAAGCGGAGAAAGTATGGTGGGAGGGACCGAGGTCACAGATGGAGTTGCTGCTCCTTTCCCTGAAGGGAAGCAGGGATTTTGCTCTCAGAAAACTTTTTTTAAAAGAGAAAAGGTGCTGTCAGACCACATGATCTGTCCCCAAATGCCTTTTCCTTGAAAAAACAGTGGAAAATAGCATGGCTTATTTCAGTACAAAGGAGTTCACTTAGAATGTGTAATACAGGAAGTGACCTATAAAAAGGATAAACTTCTTAAACAGTGATTAATACAAATCTTGTACATACTGAGAGAATGTATTGGTAATTTTATTTCTATTGGTAATTCATAGATTTATATTTACTCAACGTGGCTAAAAGTTTATGCAATATCAAAAATACTTAATTTTAGTTCAAAAACTTCACAAGATGACACGAAGCAATCTGCTTTCCATTAGTAACTATTGATAGTGCACAGCAAGAGTTAATAGAATAAAATTTAGTATGGATAGATAGCCTAGTCATAAGACACTATTCTTTATGGTTTTAGTATATACAATGGACTGAATACAGATTCATGGCTGGATGTTGCCCAACACACTATTAAATAAATGGTTATATTAATGGCTAGAGAATAAAGAATAATCAATAATGAGAAAAACATTTTAAGTGCCAAGAACTCTGATTAGTATTGATAACAGATTAAAATGATAAAATGCTGTTTTGTGTTTGTAAACAGAGCTCACCATATCCCTCGTGGGGGAGAAAACACATTTTACAAATAGGGAAACTGAGGCACAGAGCGGGTAAGTGACTTGCCTATGGCCACACTGCACATTAGTGGCAGAAAGGAATAGAGTCCTAGAAGTTACTTGTTTCCTACTCTAGCCACTAGACAATACTGATGATAATTAAAAGATTTTATGGCCCATGGTTATGCCTGCCATCACCTGCATGAGGTAATGTTATCTCTATATTAATAGCAACTATGAGGCACATAAAAATTTGTTTGGTAAATGGTCAACATTCTGGTGGTATCTACCTTATGCAGGGCTTAAAGGGTTACAGATTCCAATAAAATGTGCTTAGGGAAAAAAGGTAAGCAGTGTGACAAGACATCTGCCCGTTCAGATAACTTACCACGGACAAAGTCCAACTCACAGAGAATGTAGTGTTAGGACACAGGAAGAAAGGAGACCCCATGAGATGACTCCATTTAGGGCATACACCCCCAAAAACACCCTTGTCCGCAGGGCACTTACTTTTGTGCATTAAAGCAGTCACTCAGCATTCTGTCTTTGCCAGGATGTGGGAGCCTTTTGTAACAAGGTATATACAAATTGTTTCCCCTGAGCCTTTTCGATATGCTGTTTGACTAACACTCATCAAACAGTGGACACAATCCACTAAGATAGCCTAGTATCTACTGTGATTGTTTTCAATGTATAGGGGGGTGGGGGCAGAAAACTTCTGACCTTTACACAGTCAGAGTTCACCAGTCACTAGTGAAGATGCAATGTGCATTCTATAAGGCGTTGGCAAAGTGCTGTTGAAGGAGGATGACATACATATGGGGAATCAGACCAAACAGGACTGCAGTGGTATCAACCTATTTACCAAAACACAAAGCTAGGGCACTCCTAACATTACCTTTTCAGACATGTCTCAGTCACTTTGCAACCAGTGGAGGAAAAAGGACAACTGGGCTTTAAAGCAGTTCTAAAGCGGCAACGCAAACACTTCACCAAAACTAAAACGGGAGTGGGATTAGGGAAGGAGGAAACTCAGCTGAGTTCTCATCTTCCAGAAGTTCAGCATCTCCGACTCTTGGGATCACTCCCCTCCACCCACATCAAATTTTAGGAAAGAGCAAGAAGAGGGGTTAGTCACAGTCTCAGTGTCAGCTTGACAATGTTTGACAGACCCAAACAGCTCTTGTGATCTTTTTGGTATCTGTTTAAAAAAGATAATGACTTGTAATCTTTCCCATAGGGATCTCTCTTTCTACTGTTGCGTGGGTGATGCAATGTGAACAGTCAGGCAGAAACAGGGTTTTTAGTTTAATTCCTGCCGAGTGGTCCACTGACTGGTCTGTTTAATTTAATGTCGTTTTTCTCCAGCCAGGCAAGATTTTAACCTAAAAGGCTAATCCTGCAGTTCTTCCACGTGCATAACTGTCACTGAAATCAAGGGGAGTTGTGGGGATGGACACACGGCAGGATCACCACGCCCTGAAAGGGACTAAGCAGAGCGCAGTTCTAATGTTTCAGCTCGAGAACAAAGAATTAGCATGATACTCTTAATATGTTTTCATCTACTCCATTAACCCAGATCTTGTATGAAGAGAGAAAGAACATTTTTAAACTTCAATCCGAACAAGGGAAAATACAGCCAGGATGATAGCTAGTGCAGTGTTTAAGCAGGAGACAATAAAATGATACAGCAGGGAATTACAGTACTTAGAGAAGAAACTCTCACTGGAAAGACAAGGTTCTCACTAACTTTACCTCTCAGCGCTCTGTCCCAGAGCTCAGTCCTGGGATAGGGCAATAAGTGACTCTCCCTCCTCACCACCCTCCCTCAACCCTTTGTTTTTCCCTTTTCTCTTTGAGCACTGAGCTGTGAGCACAGAAATCTGAACCTTGCCAAAATGCTTTGGGGACAGAACAGAAAGGAAACAGAAGAGGCAGCAAATCAGCAGAGGGGAGACCCAGTTCCTCCTCCTCCTCCTCTGTAGTTTCAGAGAGCAACGGACAGGAGAAAAGCAGGATTCTCCCCCTCTCCAGCTGGCGTCACAGCTCATTAGGGAAAAGCCTGTTTAACGTCTTTCCCTCCCCCCAGCCCCATGACTAAATCCCTCTGTGTCATGCAATGGCTGTTGGGAAAAAGCACATTGCACAGAGCAAGGGTAACCACCTCACCAAGGAGAAGCACTGGCCTGAAGCAGGGTTATCCGGGGGAGGCGAGAGGGCAGAAATAGATCCCTCAGCACTAGCTGGGAAATAGCTTGCAGTTCTGCTTTGAGAGATGTAGGTTGTCTGGCAGGCTAATACTCTGCCCTGCTTAGGAGTCACATTACTCCCCACTTTTCCCCTTACTGACAACCCCGGGCAGGTATAATTAACCTTTTCAGTGCTCTATTGGAAGCCCTGAAAGTCTGTGTGTGAAGTGAGTACTGTTAAGGAACTTTTATAAAACACATTCTGCCCTTGCTGCTGTGTCTTGTTGTTCTCAGTTTCTACCTCACTCCTTCCTTGAAGGGCCTGTAGGATACACATAGGTGCAGGGGCCATTCCAGTAACTAGAGTGTTACAAATACAGCTCTAAGGCAACTGTGCCTGCAGAATCCCAAAAAAGCGGCTTTCAGCGTCCAGGTGAGGATAAAGCTGATCAACACATGCAGGTTACTGCTGGTGAACTCAAAGAACAAAATAATGAAAATTAGTGTGTTGGTATTGCAGCAATGAATATCCTAAAAACTGTTATAAACATCAACTCGGAGATGATACAGAAACCAGCAACGATGCTTGTGACCATTTATTTCTGATGAAAGGTCAATTCAAGTTAACAGTGACACTCCAGCTCTCTGGCAAGCTGTCACTATGGACCACGGAGCACAACATTTGGGTGCTTTTGCTTCGGAAGCCAGGTCCAAAACCAGCAGGCACTACAAGTTTAAGGACCCAGAGAGCAGGTGCTCTGAAAGGCACACAGACTAGTCTGATGACGTAATGGTACAGAATTCTAATGCTATGTCTATGCTAGAGAACTCACCCGCCTGCAACTGAACTGGGTGACAGAATCAGTTTAGCACACAAGGTTAAGTATATCCATGCTCTCCACTGCAAATCAGTTTAATAACCCATGCTCTTTTGTCCTGTGTCGACACTCTTGCTGTACTAAACTTTCAATGACAATGCCTTCTGGGTATTGATCCCACAGTTCCACACTTTCATCTACTTGGCATCTACAGTGTAGCTAAAACAGTGTAGTCTGAAACAGTTTCACCTGAGCCAGTTCTTGGACATGCTGAAAAGCAGCATCTACTCCAAACAGTCCGTGGAACACATAAAAACCCGATGAAACACTTTGCATGTGCGGACATCAGGGGTTTAAAAAGCATTCCTGAGGATTAGTCAAGTTCTTCACAGAGTACGTTTCCTCATCTGAGATATAGCTTCAGTGCCTCTGAAAAAGACTGCAAGCTTTTCTCTGAAAAAAATTAATTGGCCAGAAGATAAAGGGCATGCCACATGGAGGGGTAAAGAAAGGAATATAGTTGTCCAGATTAGGCATAAAGATGGGGAGACCTGGAGTTGTTTTTTTATCACACTTCCAATCCACACTATTTATCCAAGGGTTCCCCAAGGCTGGCACATCTGCTTTACATCTCAGCCTGACCATTCCTACTTCCCCCTCCCATTATTTAATCAGC